ATATGTGTGTTGTGTGTGTATGAGTATGGTGTATGTATATGTGTGTGGTGTGATGTGAGTGTATGTATGGTGTGTGTGTATGTGAGTGTGTGTGGTATGTGTGTGATGTATATGTGGGGGGTGTGGGGGTGTGTAGTGTGTATATATGGTATTTGTATGTGTAGTGTGTATATATGGTATGTGTGTGCTGAGTGTGTGTGTGTGTGTGTGTGTGTGTGCGTGCTCACAGCATGTTGCAGGTTAGAGGACAACCAACAGCAGCAGTCTACACTCCTTCCATCTGCAGTTGCCAGTCTTAGTGGCAATCATGTTTACCTGCTGAGCCATCTCAGCGGTCCAAATCTTCCTTTGATTCCCTGTGGTTTAACATTCTGTATAATATTTATGGGGTGACTAATAAATATTTCAGTTGGCTAGTTGTAATCATCTTTGATTTCTCCTTTTCATTAAAACTATGTATGCTATATGGACCATGCTAGCTAGGTTAACTAGTTAACTAGTTAACCCTCTTTAAATTGCATTGTACCCTTGTATTTTGAGTACTGTCCTCCATTTCATTAGTATTTGTGGATGAATGCTTTTTTAAAAAGACATTCTTATCTCTTATTGGAAATTTTATGGTTTTTCACTATTAAAAATATTTAAAGTAAAAAATATATATATTTAAAGTAGAAAGATATTTTTAAAAACTCTTAAATCCACGTGTGCTAGTATTTTAAAAATACGGTTTTGCCTACCTTCTCTCTTTTGCTTCTCCCTTCCTTGTTGCTCCCCCCACACACACACAAGAATTTCCCACCGGCATGATAGTATGATAGTGACTCTCCACATCCCTGCTCTGGAGTCTGTCCCCCCCCCACTAGATCCTCTTCCATCAGTAAATACTGCTGCACGTTGTCAAGGGAGTCCATAGTAATTAACCAGTCCAATAGATTGAATATCCTTTACCCAGAATGCTTGAGACTATAACTGTCTGATAGTTTGAGATTCTTTAGAATACTTGTGTATGTACTAAAATATCTTGGGGGCTAAAACCAAAGTCTAAGTGTGGAATTCATTTATGGTTCATATATATAGTGCGTGAAGGAAATTTATGCAATATTTGAAATAATACATTGTATTTTTTTATTTTTTCCTTTTTTATTGCATATTTTCTTTTTC